ACTATGAACGATTGCTGCTTATTATAATAACTGGCATAGCATGTACATCGCTAGTAATATGTACTATATCCATGATTATATACAAATCCTCTCATAATAATATTTTAATAAGATTAGGAAAGTCATTATCTTACAATGATCAGTTCATGGATAGCACAGCATTAAGAACTGGTACTTACACTGTTGATCACTTGAAACTTGCAAATATTGTAGGTATGTTCTTTCTGATTAAATTAATCAATTATCCTTATTTATTTAATATTATAATGAATAAAATTATATTTATTATAATTATAATCATGTTATAATCACAGGTCAAGGAAGATACGGATCAGTTTGGCAAGGCAGTATGGGAGACCAAGATGTTGCAGTTAAAATATATCCATCACATTACCGCAATTATTTTCAGAATGAAAGAGATACTTATTGTTTACCTTTTATGGAACATCCATCATTATTAAGCTATTATGGTTGGTATTTTTTGGACTAGATAAATTTGAGATAAATTATATTAAAACCATCAATAATATATATATAATATAAGAAAGTTTTCTTTTTTTTAATATATTTGGATATTTAGTATAAAAATATAAAATTAATTAATATTTAATTTATATTTTTATTTTAGGCGTGGATGAAAGAATAAGCATGGAAGGTAGTATTGAATATCTTTTGGTACTCAGTTTTGCTCCGGGTGGTAGTTTAACAGAATTTTTACGAATCCATACTATTGATTGGAACACATTCTGCAAAATGAGTCTTTCCGTAGTTAAAGGACTTGCTTATTTACATACGGATATACGCAAAGGTGGTATGTATTGCATTACTTGTTCAAAAAGTATGGAAATATTCTTGATGTATTACTATTTTTAATTAAAGTAAAATATATAATTAGATAATTAATTCTAATTTAATATTTATATAAATATTAATTTTTAGACAAGTTTAAACCATGCATTGCACATAGAGATATAAATTCAAGAAATATATTAATTAAAGCTGATGGTACTTGCTGTATTTGTGATTTGGGATTAGCAGTTCAAATCTCTGGATCGAAGTATTATTCTAATGGAGAGGAGCAGCATGCCGAACTAAAATCAATTAATGATGTGAGTATCAAAATATCTAAGATTGTACGTACTATAATTCGATCTCTATTAAAATCTATTACGCTCTAGGTGGGCACTTTGAGATACATGGCACCAGAAGTGTTGGATGGTGCTGTCAATTTGCGGGATTGCGAAAGTTCCTTAAAACAAATAGATGTTTATGCAATGGGTTTAGTTCTTTGGGAACTGATTACAAGATGTTCTGACATTTATATTCCTGGATCGGATGTACCACAATATAAACAACCATATGAAAATGAAATAGGTTTGTGTATGAAAAATTTCTCAAAATCGTGATAAATTTTATTGTATTTAAGTTATTTATGAAATATTTTTGTTTATATACGTCTTAGGTCTTCATCCAACGTTTGAACAAATGCAAGTTTTGGTATCACGTAATAAAGCCAGACCACTTTTAGAAGGTAACTTAGTAGATAGACCAGGAGTGCGTTTGATTAAGGAAACTATAGAAGATTGTTGGGATGCTGATGCTGAAGCTCGTTTAACTGCTTTGTGTATAGAAGAACGACTTTCAGAATTGCAGTCTCATCGTGGTAATGCATTTACCATTATTTAGTAAACTATATTATTTTTATATTTTCTAATAGAGAAACAAATTGTAGTAACAATGCACTTTACTGATGGAAGTCCAATGGTGAATTCTCACTGCACCTTAGTGCCTTCAACGACAAACAGTCTTTATAGTGAGTCCTCGCATCATGATAATGTACATGTTGTTCAACTTGCATTGAATATGGTGCAAGATAGTAATACTAATGACAGTGCAATAGCTGAAAACTTAGTTACGTTATCACCAAGTGACAGCGTTGCTCATGAACACAGTTGTGAGTAATTAATATTATTCATTTATTTTTATTATAACAACGACGAACTAAAAAAATAAAAATTTTCTGAAAATAAGTTTGAATCTTTTAAATTATAAAATATTTTATAATATTAAAATGTGTGCAATTTTGATTTATTAATAATTGTTTGTAGGAATAAAAAGGCTCTCTCTTGTGATCCAATTTGTTTTTGTTAGATTCTTGTTTTTTTTGTTTGCAAATAAGTCAAATAACAATTTTTTAGTTATATTGCATATGAGTACGATATTCGATACATATAAATCATTCATTTTACATTTCTATACTTTCATTTTTACATATAACTTAAACTATTTTTGATAATCTTGTTTCAGTCAAAAATTCAAACGAAGTAGCAACATACAATCATACTCAAACGCTTCAGCCGTATCAGGGCAGAAATCCATGTATGGAAAGAAATTTAATGTTACAATCAGATTCGTTGGAAGACTTAAGCTGTAACGGTAACGTTCTCGTCGATAAATCACTAAAACATGCGTGTAATGATCAATACAAAACTGGAACAGAAGCACAGGGCTTAGTTTCGCATGATTATTTAAGTCAACATACTACTCAATTAACGCAACTCAGGCCGGCAACGCCTATACCATATGTTCAAAATGTTATTTCCGATGAAGGATCATCTTCTTATGGTAAGAGAAAGCAGACAAATGTACAAGATACGTCTCTTCAAGAAAGCCCACGGAAAAAATTATTTGTTTGGCCCAATTTAAAGAAATTGCTCATCAATAAGAAAATGTATCCATACAGCAGATACCAAATAGATAGGGAAGATTCTAAGTCAAATTTATTATCAAAGCAAAATGTCCAGATTAAAACTGTAGAAACAAACGTAACGATTTCGCCTGGAGGAAAGTATGTAAATGGTATTATTGGTAAAACTTCAACATCGGCAATGCCAATAGAGAAAAATGACAAAAATATCGCACAAATGGGGAAGCAAAAACAGTATGAGGGTGATAATGCGATGTCTAATGCGCGTCCTTCCACTTTGCCACTCGTAAATTTAAGAAATAAAAAACGAGAAAATAATCTAAGCAGACAAGAAAGCATAGATAAATTTAATGAAGTCTTTAATGTGGGTTCAAGTGTAAACAATGCACTGAAGGATCCACATATGAGAATAAAAACACCCGGTGATTTACCGCCGTCTGTCAGGAAAGTTCGCGGTCGAACGCAATCAACGGCGCGATTTTCGCTTTACGATGATCGCATGATGTGCAATATTTTGAACGAAGAGGATGATCAAAGTGACAAAGCCATTTGGAATTCTGTGCCATTTGGTATGGATATCGGTGATAGTGATGGAAAGCATTCACCAACGAAACTTGGTACCAAAAATGTTACATGCTTTTAATCAGATATTAATGTATTTGTAAAGTCTTTATGTCTATATATTATATTTATGACTATATATAATATATAGTTAAGATAAAAAAGAACGCTGAAAGGTATCTTCAGCTTCAAATTTATGTACAGAATTTGTGTATAAGAATAAGTAAGATTTTATACTCGACGCAAAATATATTATTACGATACAAACACTAAACAATGAAATTTAACTTTCTAATTTAAAAAAATTAGAAATGTACTCAGAAGTTCGTACTATTCAATTGGTTTGTCATGTTATATTGATAGCATCTTTGAGCGTAATGAATGCTTTTGATGAAGTAGATGATTGGGTATGACAAGTGCATATAATAATTACAGATAGAAAATAGAAAATCAAACATAATCTATATATGCGCTAAAATATGAGAAATGAGTTTATTATCAAATTGTTTTTATATATACGATATTTGTGATTTATTGTAATTCTTTATATATTCTCAATGGTCTTTTCGATTTAATAGAATTAATTAATTTTCAGTGTAATTGATAAACATGGACAATCAATATTAACATTTACATCACATTATAAGATATTATTAACATCTCGATGTATAATTGTCTTTTAAATACTTTTTTCACAGCATTTAAAAGACATAATCTCTGTGTAATATAAAACAATCTCTTAATGTCAATATTTATAAAATATTCTGCATCTGATATTATTAGCTCAAAAACTTGTGAAATTATGGACGAAAGTACGTAAAGTCTTTTTATTATCGATTTTGTATACTTTTTCTTCACGAGAGGAGACTGGGTATTTCCTTCCTTCTATATATATAAAATTTATATATAAAATGTAATTTAAGTTTAAAAAACAGATTGTGCAACAAGTTTGTTCATTAATATGCAACGATATTTATCAGATATATAAATAATCTACAATTAATGCAAAGCTATGGATATTAATATAGGTGATTGTAATTATAAAGTAGAAATATAGTAAAAAGATATATTTGAGCACAAAGTATAATTGTATCGGGTTATATGAAAATTATTTTTCCTGACCCCGTAAGCTCACTGTAAATACCTGTAGTATAAAAAATATTCAAATGCGTTAAACATACTTGTTATGTTATGTTGAAGATATCGTAAAGTCTTATGTTATACATTTTGCGATACTTTTATCTTATGACATGTTATTATTGACAAAATTAAGATAAATATAATTATTCATAATAAAGCAATTCATAATAAAATATGTCTTCTGTCAACAATTTTTGTTCTTTTATTTAAAACTAAGTAAACACATTTACATATAATAATGAAATGTTTATAAGATAAATTAGATTAATTTTTTTGAAGATGTTTCAGCTTTTAAATGAAGTAAAAATCCTTTTATAAAATTTTTCAATTTCCTATTTTTAAATTCTTATACAAATGTTACGTTAAAGATTAATATTTATTTTATATGTGTACATTATAATAAATTATATTTTTTAGTGTACTCATTAAATATTTTCAATTTTTTCTTTATTAAAAGTTCTTTTTAAATTTAATTAACTTTGCACATTAGGTCTTACCGTCTTACATCACTTCTATTACACTATTTACACTTTAGATAAGATGATCAACACTTCGAATTTGGATAGAGAGAGAGAGAGTGTGTGTACTAGGTATTTCACGTGGAATCGTATTAATAAAGTTTACATCTATGAAAACTGTTTGATGTTAAAACGAATTGATAATCATGACTATTGTAACTCTTTTAAGCCGTAATGTCAATTTGAGTCAGTTATCAAAGCTGCGACCGTGTATTTACGAAGTAAGATTTTTAACCTTTACTAAATTCTTAGGTTATAAGTTTTGGTCGTTTTTGCATAATGTATTTAATAACGTAGGAATTTCTATATGATTTACCGTACCGTGTAACTTTTCTAGCAAAATGTGCGATTTTTTGCATCGCCCGCTAAATTCGCTGAACACAAATCGTTGGAGAAGCTCAGGAATATTGGTATATCAGCACACATCGATTCCGGGAAAACTACTTTAACCGAACGTATCTTATATTATACCGGTAGAATATCCGAAATGCACGAGGTAAATCTAAAATTTAATCATTACATGTGCTTTGTAAGTAAACTGATAGAATTATTGTTTGTTTCTATAAAGTGAATAAGAAATCTTATGTACTGTACATATAATTATATTGTGTTGATGGAAAAGTAACACAAAAAATTTACATTTTTAAAATAATAAAAATATTGATTCTAAATATTAATATATCATTGTGAAAAAATAACACATTTGTCAACAAGTTGTTCATACAGAAAATTTTGACAACTCTGATAAAAGATGAAATTTATACATGCCAATTAGAGTTGCACTGTTCAAATTTTGAAAATTCCTGATATAGTTTTAAAGATTACATTATAATTAAAAGTATAACACGTGGAAAAAAATAAAGTGTTGTGTACATTCTAATTATTCTAATTAAAACGTTTAAATTCAGAAAGAATTTAAGAAACAAATGCTCCATTGAAGAGTTGATAATTTTGAGTCGTCACTTTTCTATCAACATATTCATATATATATATATAATAAATTTCTATTGTTAGGTAAAAGGAAAAGATAATATAGGTGCAACTATGGACAGCATGGAATTAGAAAGGCAAAGAGGCATCACTATTCAATCTGCTGCCACATATACTTTATGGAAAGATCATAATATTAATATCATTGATACACCAGGACATGTGGATTTCACAGTGGAAGTTGAAAGAGCTCTACGCGTCTTGGATGGTGCTATCCTTGTTCTCTGTGCCGTAGGTGGTGTTCAGTCACAGACTCTAACTGTGAATCGACAGATGAAGAGATATAATGTACCTTGTTTAGCATTTATCAATAAGCTGGATAGAATGGGTGCAAATCCAAAAAGAGTTCTGCAACAGATGCGGAGTAAACTGCATCACAATGCTGCATTCATACAGTTGCCGATTGGTTTAGAAAGTAATACAAAGGGTATAGTTGATATAATTGCGCAAAAAGCAATTTACTTTGAAGGAAATTTCGGAGAAATTGTGAGGGAAGACGAAATCCCAAAGGATATGAATGCAGGTATAAAATAATAAGTTCATGATATACGTTTATGTTAGTTTTTAATTTATAAATTTACTAAATATTTGTATTATGTCAATTAGAGGTAAACGAAAAGAGACAAGAATTAATTGAGCACTTAAGCAATGCAGACGATATATTTGGTGAATTGTATTTGAATGATATAAAAATAACTGAAATAGACATTATGAATGCTATACGAAGAAGTTGTATAAAAAAGACGTTTACACCTGTGTTAGTTGGTACTGCCTTAAAAAATAAGGGAGTTCAACCATTATTAAATGCAGTGATAAACTTTTTACCAAATCCAGGAGAAGTAAAGAATTATGCTCTTCAAGAAAACTCTGAGTAAGCTTTTTATATTGATATGATTTGCTTGATTATATACGTAATAATCTATAAACAATTTTATTTTAGTGGCGAATGTACCAAAATTTTATTGGATTCTGCTCGTGATGATAAAAACCCTTTCGTTGGATTAGCATTCAAGTTGGAAGCTGGCAGATTCGGTCAATTAACATATTTTCGTTGTTATCAAGGAATGTTAAAAAAATCGGAATATTTATATAACACAAGAACACGAAAGAAGGTAATTATGTATATGTATATATAAGTATACAAAAAATATTCTCATTATAATTATCACTAAAAAATATATTTTTTTTAATGCTATAATTATATTTCAGGTACGAGCGCAAAAATTGGTTAGACTTCATGCAAATCAAATGGAAGATGTCACAGAAGTTTATGCAGGAGATATATTTGCTATATTTGGAATAGACTGTGCTTCTGGTGATACTTTTGTTAGAGATTCTAAACTAGATTTTTCAATGGAATCGATTTATATTCCTGATTCCGTGATATCTATGTCTGTACAAACGAAACATTCGAAAGATCGAGATAATTTCGCTAAAGGTATTGGCCGATTTACTAAGGAAGACCCAACCTTACGTTTCCACTATGACACAGATAACAAGGTAATATTTTTTATACTTTTAACAAAGTCACTTTTGTGTCTTTGAGATTTATGTTTTTTAAAATTTATATCTTTTATAGGAAAGCATAATTTCTGGTATGGGCGAATTGCATCTGGAAATTTATGCGCAAAGACTAGAACGTGAATATAATTGTTCGGTTATTCTTGGAAAGCCAAAAGTTTCTTTCCGCGAGACTTTAGCTGCACCATGTGAATTTGACTATCTTCATAAGAAACAAACTGGTGGTGCTGGCCAATATGCTCGCATAACTGGAATTATAGAGGTATAAGTTTAATAGATTTTTATCATTAACATTTATTGATATTATTTAACAACATCACATTTTGATATTTTTTTATTTCAATGTTTTTTTCATGAAGAAAAAATTTGTTTTTCAGCCTTTACCACCTACGAAAAATACAACTATCGAATTTGTGGATGAAACTGTAGGAACCAACGTCCCGAAACAATTCGTTCCAGGTGTAGAGAGAGGTTTCAGAATAATGTGTGAAAAGGGTTTTCTCAGTGGTCACAAACTCGCTGGTATTAGATTTAGATTAATCGACGGCATGCATCACTGCGTTGATTCTTCGGAATTAGCCTTCTGCCTAGCCGCGCAAGGTGCTGTTAAAGATGTTTTTGAAGCTGGTATCTGGCAAATTTTGGAGCCAATCATGTCGGTCGAAGTAGTTGGTCCACAGGAATTTCAGGTGCATAATATTGCTTATACATATTTAGTTTGCATTTATGTATCTTACTGCTTTCCATTAGGCACACAATTTTTTCATGTGTTTACTTATAGGGTTTGATATTAGGACAACTTACTAAGAGAAAAGGACTCGTAAGCTTTACAGAAGTGGTAGATGAATGGTTTACAATCATTGCAGAAGTGCCACTTAACGAGATGTTCGGTTACTCCGCTGAGTTGAGATCGAGCACACAAGGTAAAGGAGAGTTTACCATGGAATATGCAAGATATAGTCCTTGCTTACCGGAAATACAGGAACAAATTATCAGACAATATCAAGAATCAATGGGAATAGTAATTGAAAAATCTCAGAAATCGAAAAATTAATTATAGAATAAACGAATATTTCTTGCTTTTAGTGAAATTGCGCGATGTTATTATAAATGTTGTAAACACATTATAACAATATACGCATTATTTACACTTATATTGTATATTTAATATATTCGACGTAAACTGATAAGTTACTAGTAACAGTAATTAATAATGAATGGTAAAAAGAATAAATATGTAAAAAATTCATATACCTAACAAACGTGTGCAAATCGAGTTGTAAATATTAGTTCATATTCAAAAACATGTGATATAAAATATGAAATAAATATGTAGAAAATAGTTTTTATTTCCGTAAACATGTATGGTGAAAAATTGTTTTATTTTACCATCTACTTTTGAATAATATAATATTAATGTATTACGTATACACATAATATTCCTGACGTTATAGAATTATGAAAATAATTAAAATGACAGGTTTATAATTTTTTTCAATTACTCTAATTTATATAATCATTTTTTGATATCTTTCTCACGATTTGTTATAATATGTAAATAATTAATAGCTCTTCTTTCTTTATTGTTATTGTAAATAAATTAATTGATTTACTTTCTTCAATTCTTTTATTATATATGTACTTATACACATATAAATTAATCGTTGATAGTGTTCTAATAGTAAAAAAATTAAAATTCTGTTCTTTCTAGCTACACTTTGTATGCTTTCTTCTAATTATCATTTTTCTTACATGCTGAATTACGCTTATTGTAGAAAAAGGTGAAAATTGCAACGTTGGATAGTACAAAAGACCGAAGCTATAATATCGAATTACGCAATGCAGATTCAAGATCGCAAGTTAGAGATTGGAGATTAGAATTCGAATACCAATTGGGGTACAAATTTAATTCTTCAAAAGATTCGAAATCTACTTTCAATTTGCAATCTTCGATTCTTAATGGTCTGATACGGGCATAAATATAAAATTTGGATGACGCTCGCCCGTTCAGGTGGCGCGGCGATCGCTTTACAGAATGCGACGCCGTGACCGCCGTGTGGTCGGCCGACGCCGAAACCGAATCGGTCGCGCGATCAGTAGCGGTACTGACACTCGGGGGGAGTAGACGGCACGCGGTGGTATCCGTGTACTCCTCTGTCGCGTCTCCGTAACACCACGTAACACGACACGAGCGGATTGGAGCGCGCGTCGCGCGCGAGTACTACGCCAGGAAGGCCGCTTCCGTCTTTCCGGTCGCGGTCGCCGCGCATCGCCAGGATCGCGTTGCGTGAGGACCACGCCGCGTGTGCCCGTGTCCGAAAAATGTAATATGGCGATGGTTGCGTCGAACATGAGCGGCCACATACAGAAGCAGCTCACCAGGAGCCTCGAGCGGATCCTGGAGGAGGCGCACCTGAGCGGCGAGCTCAAGCTGAGCGGTCGTAAGCTCAAAGACTTCCCGAAAGTCGGAAAGGCCGGCGGCGCGGCTAAATACAATCTGCAGGACACCGTAATCGCCGGTGAGTCCTCTTGTTTTTTTCCCGGGGTCGTCCTTTTTTTTTTTTTCATTTTTTCTTTTCACTTTCTTGCCGACTGCAATCGCTCGAAACGCGAGAAAGCAGGAATCACACTGGTTGAAATATTGTGTTTTTTGTGTTTTGTAACATTTTGTTTGTTTCTGTCTTAATTTTGTTTGTTAGATGTGCTTCTTTACGACGTTGCCGCGCGTCTTATGTCACGGCGAACACTCGCGTGTGTTCAACGCGCGATGGATTGACGGCGTCGTGTTGATGCACGCGCTGTTATAGCTCCGAAATTCTCGGGGAATGCGTGAACATTTCTATTATCAGAGTGTTTACCACTTGGAAAAACGTAGAAACTTGGAATTTTCAGATTTTTTTATTCTTGAAAAACAGGGATTTTTATGGAACTTTATCGAGGTTTAGGGAAATTTTTGGAATTTTTCCTGTAAAGTATTAATAGTGACCTCTTCCTTATATTGTTATGATATATTTTATAAGTTTTGCGACTCTAATTGTAAAAAATGATAGATATAATTTCATTGAGAATTCTACTAATTTTTAATATATAGTTTGTTGAGGTTGCTTGACTTCAATTTATTTTTAAGTTGCACTAATTTTATCTTAAATTTCGAAACAAAAATAGAAATATCTTCAAAATATGGAAATTCTTTTATAAGATTTCAGAAAATATCCTAATTATACTGAAATCAAAGAGGTTACGATCCAAGATCCACGCGATCACTCTTGCTGTTTTAAAAAATATGTATATTTAAATATAATTTTCAGTAAATATATATTCGAAAGTCTATTTTTGGTGAAAATACAAGTGTTTTAGAAAAATTTTGATATTTTTATTACTTGCATACAAAAATATCTATCTAAATATAATTCATCTATTTTTGTTTATATTTTTAATATATTCGAAAACATACGAATATTTTAGAAAAACATCGATACTTTTATTTCCGGTAATGTTCGTTCGTGTATCCTCGAATAAATTACTCGTTATCTGGGTGGATTTGGAGCAACGTTGTATGCAAATGAGAATCGAGAATTTATAAATTTTTTGGCGATTTTTTCCATTTTGCAATTAGTTATCAGCATTATTATTCAATACACTGAAACGTGTACTTCTAATAGTATATATCGAGCCTTTATAATATTATTAAAATGCACTTTAGAGATTAATAACCAACTACTATGTTACGCACGAAGTTTGATCGAACATCAAGAACCAACCGAGTATATACCAACTTCATTCATCAATCTGTTCCGATTCTCATAGCGATAGCAACATAAAAATCTCTGTACTCTCTCTCTCTGATGGAAATAATATTAAAAATTCCGTCGAAGTTCTTCAAATCTGCACACCTGCAAGATTTTGATCTACAAGTTAAAAATGTGTAATATGTATTCGCTTAACGTTAGTGTCTTTATCAGAATATCTAAATTAAAAATATTCTCGTATAAAAATATTCTTTAAACTTGTTGGTAGTTATTATAAAAAGCAAAATTATATTCATAAGGGAGAATTGTTTTTGGTGATGAATATAATATTTCAACGAGATGCTGCAGTTAATTCCCTTGGATCATTGAAGGAGCGAATACATATAGTACCGTTTGTGCCAAGTGCAATGACCAAAGAACCTTTAAGCATTACCTAACGCACATGCACCTGCCAAGTTCGACATCTGGCGTGCATTACTCATCGGTAATTGCAACTGATTGCAAGGACTTTGTAGCAAACATAGGACTGGCAGATTTATTAAACATTCTGTTAAGCACTCAGACGGCGCTTTGAAAACATTACAACGAATTAGATTCGCATTCTCATCGCATTACATTTGTGCTTAATGTCTATTCTTCGAGTTTCATTTCATTCTTAATCCGACCTGAAATATGAATATTTATATCTCTTGACTGTTTTGCGATTAGAAATAGTTAAATCTGAGCTTATAACGGATTAACGTTAAATCATTGAACTATAAATAGCTGATGTATAAGTAGTGTTACAATTCATGTTAGCAGATTGCGAAGAGATTCTATTTTTTACGTCAGCTTTATTTTTTCTTTTTTACTTTGTAAGAGACAAGAAAACCATATTTATTATGAAACCATTAAAGAAATAATGAGTTAAAATAGATCTCTCATTATATTATTTACGTAATCGAACGTGATATATATAATGTGCTTATAAATATGTCTCAATTTAATATAGTATCATAGTTTATAATTTTATTTTTAAACTAAAAATATTAAGAGAAACGTGAATCTCGTGGCTCAGTTCATTTTACTCGGAATAATCTCTGCACTGCAGTTATTAAAATTCTTTTTTTTTTTTTGACTGCGCTATTTACTCCCGCACGTACCCTTGTTGGCTTCGCACATAAAAATACTCGTAAAATTCAAGCTGCAGGTTCCCAGAAGTCGAACACACACCACTGTAAACAATATTAATTCTTTTTTTCGTACCGACTAGCAATAGAAAAAAATACTCGAAATACTGGAAATTCTAGAAATACTGGATTACTCAGGCAAAGCTTATAAAAAGAGTATATGGAATCTACTACACTCTGACGTATTATTATCATCATACGTAAAGAGACACGTCTGTACAGGACGAGTATAAATGAGTGAGACAAAACAGATCAGGGAAATGTAAACTCGTGGGATCTACATAAATAACGCAGATATATAAGTACATATGTACGTATATTCTTTTTTTCAATTGCGAGGCGAAATACTTAATGTTATTATACATATATGATGCGCCCCGCGTTAACAAGATATAATTATTGCTTTCATGATGACATAACACGGCTTCATCCATTTGAAAATCTAACAAGTATCAAAGAGAGGCAATATTTCGTCATGTCTTATTTTCAATGTATATACGTTGCTAATTTAGTAAACTATTTTGACAAAAAAAAAAGATAATTAACAAATAATTAATAAGCAATTAATAAGATAAGACAATAGATATATGTAAATCTAAAAAATTATTAGGTATCTACAAATTGTTTTAGCATTTCTTCCTTTCGTAATATTTCTCTCCCGTACCGTCCCACGTTCTATAATAGTAAAGTCACGTCGACATGATGCGAAATTCTCGAGACGAGTGAAACGATGAGAAATGGGGAAAAAGAAAATCAAACGCCGAAGTTATGCATCCGTGGGGGGACTTATTTCTGTCGCGCCGCATAAACGCCGTGCGCGCGACCATGCAATCGTGTCCGTAACTCTTTCACGTCGAGTACAAAGGACTTTCCGCGTTATAATTTTCGCGCCCGATAGATCGACGTCCTGCTTCTCCTTTTATCACATGCAGTTCGGCCTGAATGTAAAACGCGGGCACGGCCGAGCGACAACCGCGGAAAATCAGCCGCTCAGGACTGCAATACCGCGGCGCGCCTATTATTTCCTGTTGTCGTAATAAGTACGCGCTTGACAACCGCTAATTCCAAGAGTAACGAGAACATACGCATAAGTATTTAGAACTCGCGTGTCAAGTTTTGGTATCATCATCGTTAGTACTTCAACGGATATTTTTTTTTCTGTCTTATCACTCTCAACTATTCCATTAAGACGATATTATTCCGCAAAATATTATTCCAGACGTTGCCGCGCTGCGTATGCAATTTTTGTAAGGATGAAATACGCGAGCTTATCCTATGTTGCACCTTTACAGATACGTACATGTGTGTACATATGGACTGGCAATATACAAACAAGATTGTGTTTGTACTTATCTCTTTGGAAAAGTCCGAAAACACGTTTCGCGGATTTTTTAATATCTACTACTTATACACATGATACTTTTAATTGAGGTTATTTCTTCCTATTTCTATGAAATTACAAAATTTTATTTTGCGTACTTCTTCAGTTAGGTACATTTTATATGTACTTTCAAAGAGAACTTATTTTGTGCTTCGCTATACTGTATCATTTTTAATTCTGATGTGTAATAACGCTAAATGCACATTGAAAAAGCATTTTGTATCTGTGTTAAAATCAGTCCACTTAGGTCCTTGTTAAAATTTTGTATTGAATTTTTAACATATCCGAGTATTAGTTTAACGCAATGTAATTATATTATTTGAAGAATATTTTGTGTCAAATTGATATTCAATATGTTTTAGTGTCTAAATGATTTATAAATAAGTAAACAAAAATAATATATTAAAAAATGTAAATTCTAACGTAAATAAATAAAAGACACTAATTTAACACATCATGAAAGTTAATTTTACTAATGAAATGTGTTTGCTTACAAATTATGTCAGTATTACACTTTTAGTGTTAATTTCTTTTACAAAATATTTTTGCTACTTTCTAACATATTCATCTTATGTAATATAAAACACACAAAGTAAATCGTGAAACACAATGAAATGTATTAAATTTGATAAAAATTTTTCAACTACGTACAATGTTTACACGCGTATTTTCGTATACTTTGAAAAAGAGAAGTATTTGAAAAGTACATATATTTTTCTTTCTAATCTCCTCCAGACACTTTTCTTATGCAGAAATTATAGCAATTGCATGCTAGTTTATATCTATGTATAAAGTGTAAATAAGATTTTAAGATGTATGTATAAAACTTAAGCTTTATGCCTCAAGAAATTGACCAATCACAGTCGAATGTAAGGAGAATAGTCGACTATGATCGGTCAATTTCTTTCGGCTTAAGATTTACAAAGCTTAAATTTTATACCTTAAATAAAATCTCATTATAAACGTTGCTTAGGTGTGTAATCGCATCCAAGTCAATTAATGTCGATCTCGTCACAGTCGCCTAAAAATTTCGTCACGATAACACTGAAACAATATTCTTATGTATATGTTAATTCATCCACGCGTGTGTGTAGAATTCTGCAAAAGTAATGTATGTATCGGACGGTAATCTAAATCGACACGCTACAGCATTGAGGCCGATAAATTATGGGTTATTCTGCGACGTCGGGAAAGAATCCAGCCGATTCTAATTCGCGGTC